ACCTTTATGTGAACCGGCTTGCTTTAATTTTATTTTTATTTCAATTTTTAATTTTTTTCGTCGCGCTGTGATGACGTCAAATGCGCGCTTTCGTCAATCGCGCTTTTGGGGACCGCGGTTTTGACGGGTCACGGTATAAATTTGGAAAGCCCCCAGATTTACAGAATAGCAATAGATATGAAACGTGTTATTAGATAGCACACTCATTAAATTTCACAGATAAATTTGATTCATTTCAGATACCAAAAATAAAAATACTGTGAAATTTTTCTCCTGAAAATACTGTTGATATATTGCCTTTTTTTGGGGGTACAGCCTCCATCTCAATCAAATGAATCCGTATCCCATATGCTTCATAGCAGTTAGTCTCTCTCTCCTGGCTCTGATGCCCCTTATATGTCTGCCAAAGGCAGATGGGAAGGCAGGCAAACAGGCAGTTGAGTAGGTGATGGAACAATCTGTCTGCAGGTTCTCCTGAAATGTGATCAAGAGAAGGAAAGCTGCAGAATGCCAAGGAAAGAGAGGCATTAAAGAGTATTCTTGTGGGACTGCATGTTTGTGGGAACAAGCAGAGGTTGTCTTGCTCATGTGTGCACAGAAAACCTTCGATGATGGATGGATAGGTAAGATGTAGAAGAGGAAAAGAAGAAAACAGTGCATTAGAAAAGAGAAAATAAAGGGTTTCTGTTGAATTCCGGAGTCACATCTTTTGTGCCTGCTTCAAAAATCTATTTGCAGATGTCTTAACAAACAGAAACTTCCATTGATTTTCTTCCCTGTGAAGTGTGTGCTGTGAACACTTTATTCAAATGCTTTATACATCCCCACTGTCTGCATTCATTTATTTATTTTTTGGCAATGGCAAAGCACCAGATTGTTCACAGTACTTTTTGTTTTTGATTTCTTAAGTGGCCGCTTTACAAATGACAAGATACCAATATTTTTCCATCCTTTCTTATTTCATTAAGAGTATCTGCTTCGAGCCTACTTCCCATCAACCTTTAGTGTCCTATTTGTGATGCCTCTGTGTAGGACTTGTTTAGACTACAATATATCTTTCCTTCTCACTGCACAACCACACCCTTGTGTAACTATGGTTACAGCTACTGAGAAAATCACCTCTTTGCAAAAGTGCCGGCATGCTATTCCTTTCATCATCAGAGCTAGCAATACACTTTAAAATGCAATAGAAGAAAGTTGGCTTGGAATTTTGCAGCTACCCCTTTTCTGCTCAGACATATTTTACAGATGGCCAGATAAGTGCATACAAGATCTTAAGAAAATGTGAACTGATACTAGGGAAGTGACAACACAATTTATTTATTTTCTGCATGGTTTATGTGGGAAGAGCGATCCAAGGTCTGTATTTTGCAGCAACACAGGAATTGAATGATATCCTTCTACAAAATTCTATTGGACATTGGTCAGGGAATACTTACAGGTTCATGTATCCCTTGAAGTTTCCATGCATAGATCTACATAGGATTACAAAACTAGTGTTAAAATGGTTTGGAGAAATGAGGAAGAGAACATGCTCTTAGAAAGCTAGCCGTTTTCTTGGGGTCATCTTCCTTTGGAAAATCTTAACACTACCATCATTTCTCATCAACTGTCATACTTGTAAAATAGTCTGTTTGGGTCCCTTTTTGGTTTCTTCTGGTTTTAGAACAGCTTGCAGAGCAATGAGTGGCAGAAACTGGGGACGGAGTCAAAAGAAGAATCAGCCTGGAATCTCTATGTAGCCACAACAGACTTAGTCAAGATAGAAACTCCAGGCTAATTCTTGTTTTGACTCCGCTCCCAGGTTCTGCCACTCCTCCTACTCAGATACAACTATTCCTCAGATTGTTTCATATGTTTTACCAATCATTCTCTATGGTCTTGGAAATTATGTCATATTCATAGTTGCATTCTCACTCCAAGTATTACATAGTTATATATTTACAATATCTTTAAATCCTATTATCTTTTATTGCTGCCTTATGGAAAAAATCAATAGATCCTTTTGGAAGTGGCCCTTCAGAGCCCCAACCTGCAGTTTCAACTGCTTCTAGTGCTTCTGCTTCTGCTGACCTATTAGCTGGTAATGAAATATAATTGTGGTATTTTTTGATAAAGGGTGTGCATGTTTTTACTGCATCTTTTCTGTACTGTGACAAAAAGAATAGCCAATGAACTATCAGTAAGGCTACTATTCTTCCAAACTATAAATATTCTGTAAAACCCATCACTCCAGGAAGCTATATTAATTTGACTTTACATGATCATTTTAAATACTAGTCACTGCTGCTTGCAGAAAATATCCTTAGTCATAATTAAGATATTGAGACACTCATGTGTTTCCCCTGTTTACCTATGAATTTATATGGTACCATTCAATGTAGACACACATTGGTCTATACTATAATCACTACTAAGTAATGTTATGTAATTCGTAGCAATCTAATTCTTATGGTATACAACTGTGTTCTAGATTTGAAAGAAGGCAAGCCAGGAAAGAAAGCACAAATTGCTGCTAAATGAGACCCTTTCAATCCAGGGTGCATGAACCAATTAAATTATATGACACGATATTTCATATGTTAGTTCAGAGTAGCTTTCTGTTTGTTTTCCTGAATGTCTGGAGCTAGGGCCCTCAACAAGACAAGGAATGGAAATTCACTCAGACTTCAAAAGAAATTCCATTTCTAGCTCCATAAATTTGTCATTGTTGTTACTGCTTTGAATATCCAACGAACACCCAGAAGAGAAGATATAAAACACATACAAGTTTATTAGAAAGCATATGTTCTGATAAGCAGCTACAAATTAATTTATTTTATTTGAGATACACAGTTCAGAAAATATGCTTGGTAGTTTTTTTTTCCCTTCGATATGGTCAAAACTTGATAGTGCATGTTAATGTGTATAATGTTTTCTGTTCTGTCAGCCCTAGGTACACCAAATTATAAAACTAAAGTCATGCATGCTAATATTGTTTTCATTACAAGAGTGCAGAGTCTTATAAGTCTGGATTTGCTTCCCCTTTCCCTTTATCTTTCTGAGAAGTAGGAAGAGTCTTGCCTGGAATGTTTACTCAGATTACATTTCTAGCCTGACTCAGATTTCTTTTATCTCAGTGTTGTCTTCCTCCTGTTCCTTGGGGTTATTTCTTCTGCAATTTATAGCAGGAAGGAAAAGTAGTTCATACAAATTGAAATAGCAGTTGTCAAAATGGGTTGTTGGTCTAATCTATGCCAAATCCGCCAACTGTTTACAACACGTAGGGGAAAAGAATGACATTAATTGCTGATCTACTGTGTCTTCCTGAGATTAATTTTTAAAGAATAAATGTAAACATGCAACCTTTCTCCTACACAGATACAAATCTTACTTTTAAAAAAAGCTAATCTGCTTTTTAAAATGTTGTTAAGGCCACATTTTGTAAACTTCAGAGAAGGGGTAGGGGATGAGTAAAATGTAATAAATTCTTCCATTTATTTTTCTGAAATTCTTATTAGCTCCATCACAATATTCTCTGTTTTCCCCTTTTCAACAATCACTGTTCCTATATGTTTTTAATTTGATACTCATTCAATGTCTGTGTATCACCAAGCTTTTAAGTACTCCTTTCAAACCTTGCTTTTGTGTTCAATCTATATTTTTTCAGCATCCATTCTTGGCCCTATCTCTTCTTGTTTTGGCACATTTACTTCTAAGTAAACAATTTCCAATTAGTGTTTTCATTTATTTTGACATTCCCAACCCTTAAAAAATTAGCAGAAGCGCACTTTTATGAATACCCTTTTCACTTTTTTTGCTTCCATTCATTTGTAAAATACGTGCTACCCACTACTTTTCTATTGCTAAAAATGTTTCCATTTTCTCATGGTTAGAAAATATTTACTAAGATACACAATTCATATGTCTGCTTTATGTTTTGCCACTTATATATCAGTTGTAATTATTCATTCCATTTTGTCTATCAAACACTGATGCCTTCACATTAGTACATTAATTTTCAGGTCCACACTCCTTATTGCAGGGTTCCCAACCTCTGGGGCGTGGCCCGTTCAGAACCAGGTTGAGCGAGCAGCGAGCCCACGCATGAGCAGCTTGACTTGCACAAGTGGCAGGCTGGTGCACACCTGCATAGCTAAATTTGTGTGAGCAGTGGGCTGGTGTGCACCAAAGGTAGGTTGCTGCCAGTTTGACCCAGTTTGGCTGAATTGGTAGTAGTATTCAGGCCTGGGTTGCAGAATCGGCAGTGACCCAGTCCTAACATGCCCCCGAACTGGTTCTCCAGTGTCTTCTGCCATTACTGGCATGGTTCTGCGTATGCACAGAGCAATTTTTAGTCAAATGCGCATGTGCAAGCAACGCTCCTGCATGCAGCAAACCGGTACTAACCGATTCAGGAACCCACCCCTGGTGTTCACCCATGCAGCTCAACTTGCATTAGCGGTGGGCGGATACATATCTGCGCAGTTTGATTTGCGTCAGCAGCAGGCCAGTGCTCATTCGTGTGCAGCTCAACTAGCGCAAGTTGTGGGCCAGTTGCCTTTCCCGCCACTTGGCCGCCAAGCTGTAAAGGTTGGGGACCACAGCCTTATTGTATTATACAAGTATCTAATGTTTGCTGTTAATCATTTAGGTTTGCAACATATTTGCTTACCAAACTACTGTACATGACCCTGACAACACTAGACCAATCACAGGCATTCCTTAGATACTTGTATACATATACAATAGATTATGTAACAAGGGGAACATCACACATCCATGGCTTTATTCTCTATTGAACAATTCACTAACCTTTTCATTCATTCCTATGCATGCTATACTTCTGTTGTACGTTGTTTATTTTAGGAATCGACACTTTCACACAGAACATGTTTTCTTTAAATAAAACTTTCTCATTGATTTGTTTTTCAGTGATCTGTAGAAGAGCAGAATTCCGCAGGGCAAACTCCTTACCTGGCGTGAATCCACATTTTAACTTCCCAACTGCTGCTCATTGCCACACTTTATATCTTTACAGGCAGATTTTTGCTTTAAAAAAAAACACCTCTATACTTTTCTGCATTCATACTTGGTGCCTTTTAGTTTCACTGTGGGAACAACAATATTAATGTCATCAAGAAGAGGAAAGGACCTTTGTGTTTGTCAAAGCCAATTATAACGTTTTTCAGGCCTGTGGATTAGTCCTTAGTTATTAGGCTAATAATTAATTTCTTTCTCTTTAATTTTTTTTAAAAAGGCTTTGGAGGTTCTTTTATTGCTCCGTCTCCATCACCTTCCCCCATCACACCAGCTCAGGCTAATATATTGCAGCCCAATTTTGAAGCAGCCTTTGGAGCAGTTCCTTCTTCCCCTGCTAGCAGTTCCTTCGATCCCTCAGGTGAGTGAAAGGATTCTTCTGCGCAGCTTTCGTCTCCAAGATATGTTACTGTAATTCTCCCAGATGTCCAAAGTATTTGTTGTTGTTGTTTTTAAATGAAAGCATTCAGAAACAGTTGAATATGTAGTATACTACTTTTAATATACAATTTTCAGAATAGTTCCTTCTGCTCAGTTCTCTCCCGTAGGATTTCAGCACACATCAAACCGAAGCGCATATATTCTGTATTTTTGCATGTGCTTTATATGCATGCCCATTTAAAAGAAACTCCTGAAATTGCAGATACCTTATTCCTGAACACTCAGCATAGGGCTGTGTGGCGCTGCCATTCTCCAGAGCCTTTCCCAAGCATGCATGGTACCAGATATTAAAAATAAAGGAGGTTCCAGGATATTTTGTCCTTTGACACAAAGCTTCTTGACTTTTCATTACTGCTCTGTCGTTTCTGTTTGTGTCTCTTTCATTGTCTACTTCCATGCTGGGGCCTTGCTACAAATTTGCCTTTTGGGTGAGTTCTGCAACAGAAAGAAAGTAAAGAAACCGAGTAGTAGTTAGCAGTACTTTGCTTTATAGTTTATGCTTGCCGGAGCATAGTGCAACTCTGCTTACTAACATTAGCATGCATACTGTATCTGTTATGAATTGGCGTTACTGACTATGTAATGTTGGCCTGGACTAGGTAGTTCTGTTTCATTAGATACAGAGGGACAGCATGGGTTGTTTTTTTGGTATTTTTTGGTATTATGACCATTTGGTGGTTCCACCACAAAACCGCGGTAGACTAAAGCACGTGTGACTAAAGCGCGGTGACAAAACCGCACCGTCAAAACCGTGCGACAACAGCGTGCCGACAACAG